AAGTATTCCAAGCTAAAAGAAGCCGTCCTTTACATAAAGTAGTTAGCGGCTTAGCGACCAATCAGCACCACGTCATCGGGCTTTAATAGGCAATGGAAGAAGTTAACGGCTGGATGATGTCACTCTCACTAAAGTGCTGTTTTGAAGATATCGTGAAGTAGAGGGGCTGATTTGACATGGTTTAAAGTATAGGAGTTGATCTATCACAACATTACAAGAACAGGGGTTGAATGGCACCTTCTGCCTATAGGAAATCTAGATATGGATTTTATATGTCTTTTTAAGGTTTTTTATTTTTATTTTTTTATGAAGAAATTGTTTTACAGAAGGAGGATGAATTGTATACAATTTCTCATATAAAATTATTTAAATATTTTTAAATTTATTTTTATATTATTTTTTAAAAAATATTTAATTAATTTTATAAGGTAGACTGTATACAAATAAAATAATTTTTTATTTTTTTATCTATATTACTTTTATATTTTTATTTAAATATTAAGCTTATATTTTTAATTGACATAAACGGGCATGTTAATGTAATGTGTGACTTTTTAATGGTATGTCATTTTCGACGCCCATTTCAATAAGCGACATAGAACCAAGTTTGACATTTGCATAAATTTTTTAATTGCGCAAACGGATTGATAACGCAATCATGATTTCATTCATTAAATAAGGATTAATTTGCCTAATTTGTGGAGGTAAGGGGGGACATTTGTCAGTAAAAAACGTTAAGGGAGGAGCCTCATTCGAAAGTTGACTAGAGGAATTGATTTGCATAAATTTTTCTTAATAAAACCATTTAGCTATAATAAATGTGCTATTTTTTTGTTTTACATTAATTTGTGGGTGGGTTATTACTATACCTAAAATAATTAATGTCACATATTTTTATTATAATTATTTATTATATTTTTATACTATAATTTTTTCTTAAAATTTTATTTTTTAATTAAATTTAGTTATCTTACTTGGTTCATTTACAATTACTAAAAAAGTTTATTTATTGCAATAGTTAAGACTTAATTTTCAATTGTCACCCTTATTTTTAATTAAATGAAGAAATCTTATGCATTTATATTTCTTTTGAAATATTACTATTTAATGTATTATTAAAACAGATAGTGGAATAATTAATTAGATCATCCGTATTTAGAAATTAGGACAACTAAATTTGATTGAAAGAAATATATTTTTTATTTTTAATAAATTAAAAGATATAATGATTAATTAAAATAAAAATATATGATATTAATAATTAAAAATATAATAATAACATCACCTTTATTTTTTTTTATTTAAAGAAAGGTACAATTTAGAGTAAGAAAAGGGGCATTGTAGTATAGTAGTGTCATGATTTGAATCTTACTCATTATTAAGACATTAAATATATTTACCAAATGACCCATGAGATCTAGTATATTCATGATTTGTATTAATAAATACCATAAATAGAAGTTAACTTTAAATTTAATACTAATATCAAACGAATGATTCTAACTGGATAATTAGTTAAATATAAGTGAATTTTTATTTTTTAATATTATAAATTAATAATAAAAAATTATATTTATTGCATACTTAATATATTTGTTAGAAAAACACAATTACTACTGAGTAAATTTTTCGAGAAAGGCCCATGTATGGACTTCATCACCTATTTGTTCAAAATCAAACTACCATCTCCCATCTCCCATCTCCATCCCACTCCTATGAGAATTTGGACCAACTTTCCCACCTTAAATTAGTGCAAAATTTAGTAAAAAAAAATAAAATTAAGTAACAAGAGTTTATATGAATGGATACTCATTAATTTAAAAATATTAATTTGAGATTAAAAATAAATGTTTAAATTTTTATATTACTAAATACCTAATCGTCTAATGTAAAAAAAAAATTAATACAAAATATTTTCTAAATAAATAAAATTTTAAAGACAATAGCCCCATTCAGTCTCATATAACGTGTTTTGCACTAATAATAGTCGCATATCAGGTGTTTAATTAACCTCTCATTTAGGAACTTACTTTATTACTTAAGCTACTTCGTCAACATGGCTACGCTAAAGTCAACTTAAATTTTAAATATACCAAAATTTATCAATATTCAAATTACGTTTGCAATTTTGTCCATTTACATTCTGCTAGATCCAAAAACGACCAAGTCCTAATTCATGCCGCGCCATGTTATATTGTATCACATTATACCACATAATACTAAATAAGTAAATATATATAATATTATAAATAAATTTTTAAATAAAAAATATTATATCATATTGTATACATTATTGTATATATATTTTTATTCATACAATCAATATAGCTTTAATTAAATTTTATATATCTTAAAATTTAATTTTTTTAAAACTTTTTTTAAAAAAATCCACCGCTTCAATTTAATATATCTAAAAAAAATTAATTTTACTTATATATTAGTTCTAAAATTTAAACTTTATATCTGATCTGCAAAACTATATTTTCTTAACAATATATCCAAGTTTTGGATTGATAATATTGTCGGTAGATATTCTGCGGGTAGCTTTTCTCAATCCAGACTAATGTTCTGTTCATAAAAATTTCATTAAAGACTTCTCACCACACAGCCCATAAATTCAACCCTTTTTAAGTTTCCAAATTCCAATCTCCAAGCAGGCATTTTTTTTTCCATATATAATCCAATAATGTCTTCATCCTTACGTAATTCTGCGTAATTATAGACTATAGAGATCAAAATTCCTATATAAGGACAGAGACAATCAGATACACCTCAAAATTTTTTTTGCTTAATTTTGCTTCATTTTCATAACATGAACATGCTACCAGAAGCTTGCTTGTCTGAGATTCTATCCCTTACATCCCCAGAAGATGCATTCAGATCATCTCTAGTTTCGACGAGTTTCAGGTCTGCAACTGAGTCGGATTTGGTCTGGGAGAGATTTCTACCTTCAGATTATAGGGAAATTATCTCCAGATTGATTAATCCTCTCAAGTTTTCCTCAAAGAAAGAGCTTTTCCTTAGCTTGTGCTGCCCTGTTCTCATTGACGCTGGCACCAAGGTAACCATACTTCATCATTTAGAGAATTTTGACCCGACAGAGAGCTTAAGACTCTAATTTAGATTTCTAAAGTTTAAATCTTAATATGGGTCATGTCTGTCATGGGATTCTATGTTTTTTCTAATGAATTTAAGAATTACAATTACTTGTGATCACAACAGAGCTTCAAGTTGGAAAAATCATCTGGGAAAAAGTCCTACATTTTATCAGCAAGTGAGCTGTCCATCACATGGGGCAGTGATCCTATTCGTTGGGGATGGATATCTAGCACATCATCATCAAGGTTCATCTCGATTAATTTTACTCTTTCCCTATTTAAAAAGTTAGAATGTAATTAATGTACATGTTATTGTTGATCTCTAGGTTTTCTAAGGTAGCCGTGTTGAGAACAACAGAATGGCTAGAGATAAGAGGAAAGATTAGAATGCGAATGCTAACGCCAAATACTACATATGAGGCTTATCTTATAATGAAAATCTCTAATTGGGCCTACGGGTTGGATTCCAGGCCATTGGTGATGTCAATTGAAGTAAGGGGACAAGTTTTTAGTCGAAAGGCTTTTCTGCAAAAACACGGTGGGATCGAGAAAGAAGAGATTGAAGGCGACTGGGGAGTGCTGAGGGGAAGAGATGATGGGTGGATGAAGATTAGGTTAGGAGGGTTCTTCAATGGGGAAGACGATAAGGAGGCGACAATGAGTTTGAGGGAAGTCAAAGGTTGCCAACTTAAAGGTGGGCTTGTAATTGAAGGCATTGAAGTGAGACCTAAACAATTAGGCTTAGCTAATTTTGTGTTGTGAAATTTTAGCAATGGTTTCCTTTTTCTTGAAAGTTTGGAATCCCCTAGTCACCTAAACAATGAGGCTTACCTAATTCTTTTAATTCGAATTTTAATCATCATTCCATTTCCTATTTTCAAGAAATAAAATAAAATATAATCATCATTGAAACTATGGTATAGCATGATTATATATGTATATATACTCTTTTATTTTGTGGGAGTTTTAAGATGTGAGATTGGGAATCAATATCAAGTTATAATTTCATTTGATAATATTTTTTTTATAGATTTTTTAAGGTTAAATATTTAATTTTGTTCTTGAATTATTGTATGGACCCCTAATATTATTGGCTCTGAACTAAAAAAATCCTTAATTTGATCCCTAAACTATAAAAATCCCTGATTTGGTCATTGAACTATATATTGTACAGATCTTCGATTTGGTCCTTACTGTTTACTAATTTGCCCCAAATTTGTCATTTTGTAAAAAAACAACTAACATGTCTCGTTATTAACGTGACAACTAACATGTCTTGTTATTAACGTGACACGTGGCCGTTAATTTCCTGTTTTTCATTGTTAAGTTATTATTTTTCGTTGTTAAATAATGGATATGTCAGCTTTTTTTGTACTAAAGGCCTAATTTGAGGTAAATTAGTAAATAATATGGACCAAATTGGAGATCCATACAATAGTTAAAAGACTAAATCATAGATTTTTTAGTTTGGAGACCAAATCAGGGATCCATACAATAGTTTAAGCACCAAATTAGGGGTTTAACTATTTTTTAATTAAGCATCATGTTATCTAAATATAAATTTTGAATGTTTAATTATTGTAATTAATTTTTTTAATATATTTTTAAAATAATAAAAAATAAACTTATCATTATAAGGCAACACAGTTTTGACCGATCAAACCTTATAATATGGTGTTGAAACCACCAAACTGGACTTTTAAGCCGATTGCACTTAAGCGTGCTAAAGTGCGCAAATTCTAGCATCATAATCCAAATTTCTATACTTGTCAACTCCAAATGTCATGGATATGTGCTCATATGTCCTCTTCATGTTGTCATGTAAACAAACCACACAAGTAAAAAAAATGTTGTCATATTGACGGTACATTGCGTGCACTCAAATGAGTGTATGTATGTAACTCCTTCACATCATGCACGAAATTATAATATATTATTATAATATTATAATATATTATAATGAACGAAAAAAATATTACATATTAGTCTTAATTTTTAAGGAAAATTAAAGTTGAAACTTAAAATATTTTACTTTTTAATAAATATTTTTAAAATTGGTAGTTAAATTTAATGTTTTATTCATGTACATAAATTATATATATCAATTTTCAGATTAATTGAATAATATAATTAGTTAATTGATCATAAAAAATTTATTACGATTAAATATATATTAAAAAATATAAGTTTTTTAATTAAATGATTATCAATATTAGATTAACTTCAAAATTGATATTTATGATCTATATTAATGAAATATAAATCTAATAGTTAGTTTTTAAAAATATTTATTGAAAGGTGATATTTTTGAAGTTAGACTTCAAAAAAAAATTTTTTATGAGAATGGGAGTTGATATAGCCTTTTTCCTATATACATATAAAACTTAGGATTCACATATGCATAATTTTTATATGCATTGTTTACACATAATATAGATAATATATGTTAATTTTCATAATGAACTAATATTTATAATCTTTTAATAAAGAAAAAAACTTTATATGCCAATATATATTTAACGATATTAAATTTTGTATAATTAATGAAGTGACTTGAACTCCTAGAATTATCTCAAAATTGACATTTATGATTTATATTAATAGAAATTTTAATTTAACAATTAGTTTTTCAAAATATTAATTAAAATATAAGTTTTACATAGATTTTCCAAAAAATTTGGAAGAACAACTTACAAGACACATTTCCCATATATATGGGAAAAATGTTTATTAGATACATTTATAAAAAAATTAAATAGAAAAATATTTCAAAACTATATTGTTTTAATAAATTTTTATTGCCAACAACTTAAATAACTTAGTGGTTATCTTCTTTCGCTGGAAGTAAGAGGTCTTGAGTTTGAGTTGCATGGCATGCGGGTGAAGTGAGATAAGGAATAAGAGATGATTGCTTTTCATTGTATAATCAAGAAAAAAAATAAATTTTTATTGAAAAATACTAAAATAACTTACTTTTGAAGCAAAATTAATACTATTTCAGTTTTTTTTCTATGATAATTTATTTAAATGATATAGTTTTGAAATATATTTTCACTTAATTTTTTGCAAGTTTGACTAATAAACATTAATATCACATATATGAAAAAGCAATTATTTACCTTATCTCTTAAAAATTAAGAGGACAACAATTTTAAAATTATGTTGTTGCAATAAACTTTTGCTGAAATAAATGAAAATGCCTATTTTTTATATATAGATTAAAATGATATAATTTTTTTTATTATTATTATATATAGATTATATTATATATTTATTTATTATTAAATATCAGATATACAGGTGAGATACACGAGTATAAACTTTTATACCCAATACTTTACCTATTAATTAATTAGTAACAATATCGTTAAAATATCATATAAGATTATAAGTTTATAATTTTACGTACATTAAATGAGTTAATATATATATATAATATCATGAATATATTTTTAAATAAAAAAAGTAATCATATAAGAATATATTATATTATAAATTTATAAAATCATAAGACATTATAATTGTATCAGTTTCATTAACATATATATATTTTTTATACCCAGCATTTAATAGTCTCTTTCGAGACGTAAAATACCTATAAAGACCATATCAGCCACCCACAAATATCACATATACTCAAACCTAAAATGCACACCTCTACAGTAACATACGAGCACAGCCCAGCCCAGCCCAAGAAATTTTTTTTTACTTCCGGCCCAGTTTCGAAATAGACGTACTGGGCAAACCCTAATCCGCCCTTTATAAATCCTAAACACCCTTCTCCTCCACGGCGTCTCATCGCCGCTCCCCCGTTTTGTGTTCATCTTTTTCATTTTGTGTTCTTTATAATTTCTGCCGCCGATGATGATAAGTGTTTTAATCCCAGCTCATTATGAGACCTTCAAGGTCCGGGAATATACTCCCATCCAACCAACATTTGTCTGAGCCGGAATCGATTCTCCATTTTTTTTTCCGGTAATCTACTGTTTTCTTTTTGAATTTTTCATTTTTTTTTTGTTTCAATTTCGTCGATCTAGTTTTATTGTTCCCGTTGATGTTTCTGTTTAAAATCATGCTAATGTATTTCTGATTGATTCATGATTGGAACCTATTTTCTGAGGGAACACTTTTTGGTGTATTTTAGACTGGATTTTTTATTTTTTGGAATATATTTTTTGATTTTCATTTCGAAGGAGACCCTATCGTTCCCATTGATGCTTGAAATTTGGAACCATGCTAATGCTGATATTTCAATGACTGAAATACAATCCTATATCTGAGGGAACAACTCTTCCCAGATTTTTTTTTCCTATATCATATGCCAATTTTCTTTTGAGTTCGACACTAATATGCACTGTTATTAATTTGTATTGAAATTTTTTTTTCCTATAACATTTGTAAATTTTTTTTTTTTTAAACAGTGGGAAACTTATGTTTTTATCCGGGGAAGGGGAAGGACCTGGGATTTGATCAGGTCTCATTAGTCCTACGCACGTCTGCAAGGGGTGGCCAATAGGCCACCATGTGCGGGACAACATTTGTAAAATTTTAATTTGACAGTCAATAAAATTGAGTATTTGTTCCATAAAAATTAATTAGATATATGAAATTCAGGACGTCCTGATTCTCCCGGCTCTCAAAATTAATAGTTTAGAAAATTTCTAGTTTTTTTTTTTAATAAATCTTTTCCCTAAAGAATATTATTTTGAATTGATTTTATTTTCCAATTTTTGTTGCCAAATTTCAACTTCGTAACAAGGAACAGCACAAATTAGGGGTGGGCAAAAACCGGTTT